ATTGTGGCCAAAAATGCCCTGGGGCTTACTGACAGAAACGGGGTTGCCGTACACTGGTGCCGCCGGGCCCTCTGACCACCATCAGTAGACAATGCAGGTGAAGTGTCTTGCCCAAGGACACAACGACACTGAAAGTCAGAGCCGGGGATTGAACAGTCAACCCTTCGATTTCAGGGCAAACTCCTACATCCAACGCCACTGTCGCCCTATGGAGAGTTAGCAGTTATCCACTTCAATAAGAAAAGTCTATATGCAAATTTCTTTAACATCAAAGGGTATTTGAATCAGTTTAAACAACCATTCAGTAAAATTGCTATATCTGAATCCTGGATTTAAAGGAGAAAGGGTTGGATTTTCAACTTGATGGGTATGAATTGATATACATGAATAGGTAAAATAAAAATGGAAAAGGAGTTGCTATATATTTGAAGAAATATTTGAAATAATTAGAAATGTCAGTTGCTATCAAGATTGTCTTTGAATATATAACAGTAAAGTTTATCGACAAAGGTCTAAAAACATTCTTCTTAGTTGTGTATATTTAGCACCATGCTCCAATGTTGCAGCAAGAAGGTTCTGGGTTTGATTCCTGGCCCGGGTTTTTTCTGCATGGAGTTTGCATGTTCTCCCTGAGCATGCGTGGGTTCTCTCTGGGTACTCTGGCTTCCTCCCACAGTCCAAAAACATGACTGTTAGGTTGATTGGCTTCTCTAAATTGTCCTTAGGTGTGAGTGTGTGCATGAATGGTTGTTAGTCCTGTGTGTCTCTGTGTTGCCCTGTGATGGACTAGCAACCTGTCCAGGGTGTACCCCGCCTCTTGACCATTGACTGCTGGAGATAGGCACCAGCACCCCTCGCTCCCCCACTCAGGACAAGCGTGTAAGAAGATGGATGGATGTGGCAGATAGCAGATACAAAAACTATAAAAAAGTAACAAATATTCTAAGATCAAGCAGAAAAGAATATAAGAAAATATTGGATGAAAAGAGAGCAAATATCAAGGGGGCATGGGGCATTCTAAATAGTCTTTAAAAAGGTAATTGTAGTCATTTCTAAACCATTGATACACATTGATATCATTTATATCGTTGTGTAAAACTGGAAGCAAACACCATTTTATAAATTACAGGCCTATCTCTCTGTTGCCATAATACTCTAAAATATTTGAAAAACTATTTCCCCATATACTGAGAAGTGTTTTTTCTTCTTCCCAGGATTAATAGACTACAACTTCCATTGTTTCCGGAAGGCCATCCACGAAGTATTTGAGGTTGGAGTTTCTGCTCAGCGTCCTTTAGGCTCACAGGCAGTGGGCTCACCCTGCAACAAGGCGGTGGCTTTGAACGGCACGCCGCGCAACACGGTGTAAACACTGCTGCAAGATAAATCAAGAATAAATAAAAACATGGAAAACGAAGGATAAAGGAAGGAAAGATGGGGGTACGACACAGGGGCTCAGCAGCGCTCGAATCACGTCCCCTTGCTCCCTAAAACACTGATGGATGCCTTGTTGGAGGAATCAGCAGTGAAGCACAGACGGGGAGTTTGGGCATCTGTTTTTAGGTGAATGTTAAAGCACTGTGTCGGCTGTGTGGAGGTTGAGAAACTGCACCTGGACAGCAACAGCTTCAGCATCTTTCCTCTAAATTTCCTAAAGTGGCCATAGGCTGCGACACTGAGCTGCTGGTTCTTCTTACGTGGACAATGTGAAGCGGAAAGGGAAAAAAAACACTGTCTGACCTCTGCTGGACAAACTGTGATGTCTCGATCCTGTGCAGTGATGAACCTGACCACTTCTGTGCTGAAAAAGACGGTGGATGAGAACTGCTAGACCTAACCCACACCGTTCAGAGATGGCCTTAGGTAGATGGAGCTTAGCGGCAGAGCAAGCTTCCTTCTACCACTACTCCCCACACATCACCTCACCCTAACCTAATGCTGCCCAAAACTCGCTTTTTGGTTTCACTTGTGAAGGGAAACGGGTGTTGTGAGCAGACTGAAAAGGGATTGCGCTGTCCATCCATCAATGTCATCTCTGTGTTTGAACATCAGTAAAAGGTTTTGATTTAGTCCCATTCTGAGCTTCCCACAGTGACAGATCGCAGAAAGTTTACATCCTTCATCTCTAACAGCGGCTCAGCATAATTAAACATTTTTCAAATAGTTTAATAATCCTTTTTTTGTTATGCTCTTTTGAGAAATTTATACTTTTTATTTGGTTTTTTGATGCTTAGTATAATGAGTTTGGCTTTTGTTAAAAGCATTGCCAACAAAATGTTAGAAAGCAGACTATAAAAAAACGCCACCACAATTAAATCTGAAACAGATTTCCACATTATAAAATAAACTGGTTAACACTTGCATGTGTCTCAACCTGTAATTTCAAATGTGTCCAAATCTGTTGATCTATATTTTTTGTTTAAAGCTGATCACAATGGTTCATCAGAACAAGTTCTCATTCCAAGCATGTGCTCATCTGTGTGTTAACTTGTATTGTTCTCAGCCATAACACTGCTCATTGTAATCAAAAGTGAAAATAAAAATGATCCAACAATAGAAAAACAATGTCTACATCTAAAAGGAGAATTTGGATTTTGACTTCGTCCTCATCCACCTATTATTTTCTCTTTTTTGAACTGTTTAGATGTTTGGTATGGGTTTTTTGGATGATTTTATTTAATTTTTTTGAAAGAAGTTAAATATTGTAGCTAAACAGAGAATTACTTAAATTAATCTTTATTTCTCCAATATATCATACCAAGAAAGTTGAAAGGTTGTAAACCAACCACAATTCATTAAACTTACCTAATTGTTTTTTCTCATGGTTATTCATTTTCCATAGGTACAGCTTAGTAAAATAAAAACATGTATCCCCTTACATATTTCTTTGTTTATATATTTATGCCACATTCAGCCATCAGTTTCTGTATATTTAATACATTTTAGATCTGACTCATAACAATTTTTTTGCTAAAAATCAGTTTCAAATCAAACTGACCTAATCCTATGTGGAAAAGGATTGTGCTGCCCTCAACGCATTTGTGATATATAAGACTTTTATATGACATTGAAGACTTTTTTCATTCTTTACAAATTGCTTTAATTTAGCAACAGCTGAGCTTTTTCAAACATGAACTTTCAATTTAGGGAGATGACATTGTAGCACGAAAAAAGTATTCAACTATTCACCCTTGTTAAATAAACGGAGATCGATGGATTTCTCTCAGTCTGCACATTATTAATCGTATATCTTTGCAAAGAGAGAACAGTTCATCATGCAGCCCTTGTGGCACAGTATTCAGCCCTGTTCTGCCTGAGCAGCGTTCGTTCCCCCTTACAACAATGGAAAGAAGTCGGATTCAAAACAAACTGCAGACACTTTGGTTAACAGTAACATGTTATGAATGAACCTTGAAAAAGAATCTGGCTTGTTTTGGGAAGAAGCTTTGTCTGGTCTACAAATATCCTCACGCAGAGAATTGTTTGGCCTTGCAGGTGAAAGAGACTGAGTGAAAACTTATAGTGAGTAAATAGGATAAATTGATATATGTAATAAGAGAAATCAAAATTTTCCGACAACAGCCGTATATCTAATTTAGATTTGAATTCATACTTTGATTAGGCCACTGGAAACCATTTATTTGAATTTTTCTGAGCAATTCAGAGGTAGAATTGCTACAGTGCTTTGGATTGTTTTCTTGCAACTTAACCCAAGTGTGCTTGTGCTAAGGTCACAAAACCAAAGCTAGAACATTTTCCTTCAGGTTTTAGAGAGATTTCACGGATCTGTCAATTATTGTCCAGTGATGCCCTAAAGGACAGACCATCTCTCTACCAAAACCATGTTTGGTCCTCAGCATCATGCTCTCTATTTGAAAAGTTGTCTGGTTTATGAAAGATGCAACAGGACGCACACATTCCACAAAGTTAATTTCTTGATCTTGTCATTCCACAGACTCGTCAGAGCCTGGCAAATGTTTTTAGACAAACATGAGACAAGTTGAAATATGAGTAAGGCCTCAGTAGTTCTGGGATCTCCCTTACAGTGGTCAAAGTGCTTTTGGATTCAGATTGAGATTATCTGAGTGGACAACCTGTTCCATATTTTCTCCATTTTTGGTTGATGAATCTTTCTGTGATTTGATGAACTCCCAAAGCCTAATTTTTATTAAGACCCACATTTACATACAGTAGCTGCCAGCAGATTGTGTAAAGTAGTTAGTGAAATTGATTTGACTAAAATGATAGGGTTAATCAGAGTTAATCTGTGACTTAATCAATGAATTATCACTTTAAAGCATAAGAACTGATATGTTTGAGTAGTTTTATCCGTTATCACTGAAATCCACATTTATATGCTGCTATTTGTTGTCTGTACGTTTTTTAGGTACTTTGCTCAGGCGATTTGGTTTAATTTGAATAGATTGTCTAGATTTTCCAGCTAAATTACCAACTGGTCTCCCGAGTGTTTTACCAACAGAGGGCAATACTGCAGAAACTCACAAGATGGCGATACAGGACTGCTAACATGCTCATGCTTTTTATTTTATTTTATTTATTTTGCTTTACATCCTTTGGGATAAGTAAAAGTGTTTGCAAGCATCCATCAGTTGGTGGACCTCTGCATATACATTATAGCTTGGTCACAAAGGACCATCAACATTGGAAGTATCCAAGATGTCTCTGTGTTGTAAGTACATATATATTTTTTAATAGAAATAAATACTGTTTAATTCCCAAGATAGCATTAAGCTGGAATCCTTTTATGTAAATTTCTTAGTGATAATTGACATTATTCTAACCACATTTAAATCCCCCCCTCCAACAAAAATGGTTTCAGTTTAATAAGTTTAAAACTAAAAAGGAAGAGGTAAATTACAAGTTTTCTTGAGTTGGCTGCTCTTCTGATGAGGTATCATAATAAACGATGAGAGGCACCCCCCCTCCCTCCCTGGTGTAGTGCATCTAAAAACAACCCTGTGAATAGCTTTGCCATGCAAGTTATTCAGCAGTTAAGTTAAATAAGCCTCACAGCTACTGTCACGACCCATTATGTGGGATGTAGGCGAGACAGCTAAACACCACTTCCACACAATTTAGATGCAATAAAACACTGACAGCTTTTTTATCCACTTCATTAAGCCAGTAATTTCTTATAAAAATCTCCTGCATTAATCCTGTCGATGGTTTCCCTGCGGTTCTTTAAGCTCTCCTCCAACCTTAGCTGCCTTGCTTTGATGCTTACTCAAATAGGCGCTAATTTGAGATAAATTATGCATCTGCATGTAGCCCAACCATGCCAGGGAATATAAAGTGTGACACTCTGAAAGATGGCGAATTAAAGCAAAGTGTGGTATCTCGACAGGCTAATGGCAGATAGGTTAGGGCTGTCAGCCTGATGGTTTGTTGATCTGCAAGTCACTTCATATTCAACTAGGCGGACGGGGTCGTGTTTATGATGATTTGAAGGTCAATGCAGAGCTGTTTTTTTTTCAAACCTCTGTGTTGACTGCAAGAGCAAGGATGCACCTTAATGAAGCAATTCAAAAGTTTAAATGGGAAATTAATTACAAATTATTATTTTCCTTCCTTCTATGATATTGGAGATTAATAGAATAAAATAAGTGGAATTTTACCACTAATAAATAAATCACTTTTGAAAACTCATTTCCTTTTTACAACCCGGTGAGCACTTCACTACCATAATAAGGAAGCAAAGCACCTTTAAATATGAAAATAAACTTCAGGGAATAAATCGGTAAAGTAGTTAAACTGTCTTGTTTATGCAAAATGTAATGTTGATGGCTTTGATGGCAAAAAACTAAGACTGTCTCATAAATCAAGTATTGCACTCTGAACTTGCTGTTTAGCTTGGCTATATACCCTCAAAAGTTTTTTTTTTTTTTTTTTTACTGTCTCATAAATCAAGTATTGCACTCTGAACTTGCTGTTTAGCTTGGCTATATACCCTCAAAAGTTTTTTTTTTTTTTTTTTAAATGATGAACACATTTTTTGAGAAGAATAGATTTGTGACATTTGGAAGTTTTTATTTAAAATGATTTTTCATAGTATTTCTAAGGACTCCAAACCTTTTCACTCTCCTTGTGCTTCTTCAGCCAAAATAGTTTCAAATGTATCAAGATTTCCAACATTTGCAGATGAAATAATATATTTTTGTATTGATTAAATTTGATAATCTTGTGGTTAGCAGATATTAAATAATATATTTTTTAAACCCCATAGCTTTTGAAATGTAACTGTTTATCATTAAAGACAAAATTTGAAAAAATCACAGTCAATGATAAGTCAAAAAAATGCTAACCATATACAATGGGCTTGAAGCGATATAAAAGCATTTAGGTATTTGAAACCGAACAATTTAAAGGATTCTAAAAGTATTTTTGTTAAAAAAAAATCAGCTTATAAAATGTGCCAAAAAATTGTAGTTTTTACAAACTGCAAGGGTTTGACCAGGTGTTAGTAAAAACTCCATGTGTATATGTTATTTTATGTAGATGGATGTGAGGCAGAACATTGCAATATGTTAACTTTTTGTCTTTCTTTCAGTTAATAATAACTTTTATATGCAGTTGCAATTCTTTTTTTTTGATACCAACACAAAAAGTGAATTATTGTGAAGAGCAGAAACGGATGATGATAGTAAGATCTAATTAAATGTTAAATAATAGTAATGTTTAATAATGACTTTTAAAAAGTTT